CGTTGGAAATCAAGCCGATTCACTTCGTGAACTCGGCAACCAGCTTACCGGTTTTTTTTTTTACCTCTTGGGCGGTAACCATGATGGTGGTCGAGTAGATCATGTTGTGCGGGGTGGAGAACCCTCACTCCGCGCAAGGGGGATGATCGCACCACGTTGTGTTAAAATGGTCAAGCACCCTCGAGGCAGTTACACAGTGCTTACAACTGTCTCTGGAAGTGAAAGCACCAGAAAATAGACGAAGTCACACGCAGCTGTCATCCGTACGCAAGGAAGTAAGCACAAGATGCCGAACACCCTTAGCAGGATGCAGCGCACCCTTCATGCGACTCGCCGAATATCTCACGGCGCTTCGCGCTTGGTGATGTGAGAGCCTGGTCCGGTGAGAACCCGGCGTGCTCCGTCCCAGCTTTGTAGGGATGCGAGGTCAATGATCTAACGACTACGGCATGCACGACTATGAGTACACCCCCCCCTCCTGTCGTGGCATTATCCCCGTCCACACACACGCTTCCTCAACCTGCAGGACGCAGAGGACTTGCGAGGCGGACGTGCTTGCGCTCAAGGAGGACGCGCGCCGATCCGACCGTGCGTGGGAGGCAAAGATGGCGCGAAAGGCGAGTGGCCGGCCTCATATCCTTCCTTGGGCCATAGCAGCAATTTCTTGTCCTGATTGGCAAAAGATTTTCTTAAGACTTACTTAGACCATTGCCCATGAAGCCGTAGATAGTTATTTTCCCCCTCCTTCCTTGGCGGGTACGTTCATGACCCTGGGTGCTTACATTGTACCTTCCTTTGCCCTTGCACTAGGACGAGCAACTCGCGCTGACGTGATTGCTTTCTGACGTGAAGGGGACAGCGCATGCGTCACTGTACAGCGGAGACTGTGTGCGGCATAGGCTCTGTAGTCCCTGCTGTACAATCATGTTTGTGTATGTGCTCCATGCACACGTCAGACCAATGCCATATTCATCGTGTTCAAGAAAGACGACGCGCACCGTTTTTCGCTACCTTCCTTCTGTTCGCCCCCTGTTAGGACGAGCAACTCACGGTGATTCCCGTGCTTACCAAGGAGAGGGACAAGTTGCGCGAGGAACTGGACCAGGAGATATCCTCCAGAGAACAGGATCAGCACCGCAAGGACATCGAAATCGCCACGCTCAACACGAAGGTGGGCGGCGTCCCGAAAAATGCGGCGACAACACCAAGCTTTTTGGAAGCTACTACGACCAAGACAACACCGCCGCACTGAGAAAGCGCGTCGGGCGTGTCCGAAAACTCTTGAGACAGGCAGACCAGGCTTTATCAAAGATGGCGATATCGGCATAATCGCATCAAGTACGATGTGTCAAAAGCAGTGCATTCGGTGCTAGTCACACGGGCACTGCCCCGCGAAACGTGAAGAAAAAATAGAAAGTGGCAGGTAGAGGAGTCGCCGTGTGGAGAGCAAGTTATGGCAATGCACCCGAAGTGGGTTGGTAGTCCTTGACACGCTGTCATGGCGAAGCAACACAAACAGAGATAGTTAAGTTGACACGTTTACGGTAGGGCCAAGGAAATATGCAATAATGACAGCGAAACCGCGAGCACTTAAGCAGGTGAATCGCAATCAATGCAGCGTCGCATTGCAGAGCTACGGTGAGGTGGAACGAGAACTGTGCCTGTGCAGAGAATGGGCAGAGCAGACAATCGGAAGATGGGAAGATCTGTGCATCGAGGCTTGGAGAAGGCGGGATGTTGAGCTGCTTCTTTAGTGCCGCATCGAGAGCATCGGCAGCCGCAGCAACACAGCAGCTGCAACCATCAGACCTGCAACCACCGAACACAACAACACCAACACCAACACCAACAACAACAACAACAACAACAACAACAACAACAACAACGCAGGTGGCCCACTTGGAGTCGTCCGCGGAAGCCGACGCAAAGCGAATCCTGGAAGCCCGAAACAAGACCGAAGACACCCAGCGCCGCCTCCACAACGAGAAGGCGGAGCACGCCGCCACGGCCAGGCTGCTGGAGGAGGAGAAAGGCAAGTACGAGCGGTGCCGGTCCCGGCTGGAGACAAGCCAGGAGCACCTGGCAGACCTGAACGAGCGGTTCAACGAGATGCGGGCGGAGGTTGAGGTGCGCCGTGTTGTAGTCGCAAAGATGTGGTATCGCATGAGGATATATTGTGGCAGGTTCACGTTTAGTCAGGGGAGAGTGCACGAAGCTTTTTATCCTGCTCCTCGTCCGTCACCGATGCGGAGGTTTCGTTTGTAAGCGTCGTGTGAGTGTGTGAACGACGTCGGCAAAGAGACGAAGGGGGTGTGTTCGCGCGGGTGTGTCGTTTGCTTGCTTGCCTGCTGTTGTTGGAGAGTGAATTTAGTACATTGTGAGAATCGTCGTCTTTGTTTTCTTGCCTGGCTGGGCGGTATGGCCGAAGGGTATGAAAGGTCATGAAGGTGTGTCTTTCTTCATCAGCATGGCCGCCGACCCAATTCGCTCTGTTGTCCTTGCCCCATTTAGTTGTGGGCGAGAGCGACCCCGTGGTGTTGCGGCCATCGTTCCCGTGAGGGTGGGGAGGGGTATCCGTGGAGCACAATCCTCAGCGCCTCCGGCATTAGCCATTGTCGGTTCTGCGAGTGCCCCCAACAAATCGAGGAAGTGAAAACGTTTTCTTTCTACGGACAAAAAGTATGACATCTTGTTGCATGTGTCAATGAATCTGCCGGCGGAAACCCCAACTAGCTGTAACAACCACGACAGGCTTCCGCGGAAAACGCTGAAGAGGAGGCGGGCGAGGCAAGCGACGCGCTGGCGGCGGCCAAGGTAGAGATACAGAGGCTCCGGACGGTGCTGGGCACGAGCGACGCCGCGGCTGCCCTGGAAGCCGCAACGCTCAAGATTTCCACCCTTTCGGAAGAGCTTCACGCGGCAAGGTGAGGGGGGGGGGGGGGGGGGGGNGGGGGGGGGGGGGGGGGGGGGGGGGGGGGGGGGGGGGGGGGGGGGGGGGGGGGGGGGGGGGGGGGGGGGGGGGGGGGGGGGGGGGATGTGATCCGTGTGCGAATGTTATCGACTGCGTCGGTGCAACGGCTCGGTTTCGGCGGAATGGCATGCAGATGTGGCAAGGTGTTTTTTACCTCGGAACGTGACAAAACGTGCTTATTCACGCTGGCTTTTTGTTATGTGGCTAGCTCACCTTGGGTCCAAAAGCAAGGATTTACGCAAATCCCAATCACTAGTGTTTCGATATCGGCGTTCTTGAGGCTGGACATGATTGTAAGGGAAGCCGTGCAATAGCAACCGCAACAGGACCGTGTCAGGAAGGATGCAGTTGCTGGCTCATGCGCAAAAAAAATGTGTTTGCTCCATTTTCTTCTACATGTTTTGCCTTTTCGACCCCTACCCCGGGCCTTCCTTCTTCTCCATTCAACTCCAATACGAAAATGAAAAACCTGATACATGCCGTCAATGCGTCGCAACGCTCACTCCCACTCGAGCATCAATCGTGTATTTTCGTGACAAGGTCCGAGGCTCGAGAGGCAAATGATGCGCTTCAGGAAGACCGAGAGAAACTCAAAGGCGCCCAGGCGGAGGTGATTGCGCCGCTCATTTGTGAGCCCTTCTCGAACGTCGAAAGTTTACGGTGCCACACGCGTTGTCCTGCTTCTCTCGGAGCGTCCACGGATGTATTCCAAGAACCTTCATACTTCAGACTGATGTGGGAGCTTGCCTTTGTTGGGTTTCCTCCGTTGCAGTTGCTCGACGGTCGAGGAGTGCGTGGGTTTAAATAAGACAAACGCGCAGCTGACGGTGTATTGAACCATGGGTCGTTCGGATGTGGGAACAGAAGGGTGGGGAGGTAGCTCGCTTGGCAATGACAAGTACGTTTGCCGGCGTTGACCAGGTAGTCCAATGTTGCCCGAAATCTCACTTAGGAATACCGAAGTTATACATTACAACAATTTCCCTCTCTATATGTGGCAGATAGTTTTTCGCCGTTGTTTTCCCCGGAGCGTACGCTTCGTGTGAAATATCATCCCAACCCTTTGAGACGAGTAGAAATTCTCTGCTCGTGCCCGTTTATATTTCTCCCGTAACCAAGGACAACCCTTGTCCTCTACTACTTCGTCTTTGCTCTGCTCAAAATAACGAACGTGACCAGCTGGACAAGTCGAAATCGCTGCTGCTGTCCAAGGCGTCCATGCTCTCTGACAGAAGCCGGCAGAGTTCCGATGGAGGACTAAGCTGGGCCGGGTCCTTTGAACCGTTTGACGACGACGAGTTGCTGTACGAAGGGGAGAGGCAGGGTCGGATGTCATCGGCTATGGCCCCGGGAGGAAGAAAGTACGAGCAGGGGAAGTGGGTAAGCTCTCGAAAAACATGTTTCCTGCAGAACGTGACACTACTTGGAGAATATCGTATTTTGCGCAGCCCTCGCTTATGTTGAGCGTGGAAACCAACAGGGTTAAGCTTTGGTTTCATACATGCTCTGCGATGAAATCCGACGACACATTAGTCTATATTCATACGTCTTCCGTGCGTGAACCAGGCGTCGGTTACGACCCGTTCGATTTATCTTGACTATAGAGGGCGATACACAACTGGTCCAAACGCTGGCGGCAATCGCATCGTCCCATGAACTCTCCCGCCCCCACAGAGGACCTCTATAATGGCGGAAGCCGTAGGTGTTTGCGACAGATCTTTGACTCTAAATAGCCCCGTCCCTCGCTCAAACCTGTACCCTTCTGAACACAAACAACAGGCGGTCGAGAAGTGGATAGCTTTGGTCAGGTTCCGCAAGGCCGTGGACGCGCATAACGCAGAGGTGACGCGTCTCCGTAAGCTCCTGCGGATTGCGCAGGGGGGAGAGGAACGGTCCCGCCTGGAGGCGGAGCTCGAGATCATGTCTAGCAACCACAGCCTCAAGGACATGGAAGATGCCATGCACAAGGAGGTGCGACCTTGTTTTTTCTTACAACGAACCAACAAATTTCATCCGTTCTGCAGATCGGAGTTCGGGATCTTGTTCTTGTAGTAGGTGGGCATCGCTGTTGGTTTTGCATCGCCCACCGTCAACTAAAAAACAACAACAACAGCGTTCCCAAATTGGCTATTCAGTCCTGGAACATACGTTTGTTTTTGCGCATCACGTTGGGCTGATTCTTACGGCAAAATCCGTGAGAGAGGGGGCGGCACACGCAGAGGATGAACCCTTTGTGGGGCAAGACCTTCTCAAACAGGCGCATGTTCAACTTGGTCACGTGGCATTGTCACGTCGCCGACTGTAACTACGAGGAAAGAAAGCGGTCTGATCGTAACCGTTCAGTGCAAAGCCTTTCGCCGATGGATTACATCTAAGTAATAAGACATGGAACCTGCGAGGCGAGTAGCCAACGCTATCGGGGTGATGGTAAGACGACTCCTATTTCCCTGTGCGAAGCAAGCCAATACCCTGACGGGTGCCACCGCATCACCGATTCGCGTTTTTTGTGTGACTGCTCATGCAGGTGGCGGCCCTAAAGTTGCAAGCGGCAGGCCAGTCGGACGGTGGTTCGGAAAGAGACCGGGCGAGGAGCTCGGCCGGCCTTGATGACGCCGCGTGGGAGGCAAAGCTGGAAGAAAGCGCGGAGGCCCAGCGCCTCGAGTCCGAGCGGCAACTCGCCGACCTGGCGGCACTCCACGAGAAAACGGTCGAGGTCAGTGCTAATAGTCGTGGATCATGTGCACATACGAGCAAGGCATAGCCAAACGTCCAGGAAGGTACTATTCTTACCCAACGAAGAAATTTTGGAACCCGAGGGAGGTTCAAGCGATACTGAACGGCAACAACCCAGCTAGCCGCACATAGGCTTTGGGCATTTCCAAAATTTTCATTCCTTAGGGACGCGACAGGTTAACCCCAAAGTTTACGGTGGCCATTTCTCAGGGGCTCCGGTTGGAGCTGAGCACGGAGAGGGAGAATGTCGAGAGGTTGGAGTCGGAGGCCGAGGAGTCGAAGGAAAAGCTGAAGAGGCTGGCCAAGCTTGAGAAGAACAAGAAGGGGCACAACGCCATGACGGAGGAGCTCAAGAAGATGCAGGAAGAGACGGGAATTAGCGTGAGAAATATGTTAATGGTTTGCATGGTAGTGAACGGAACTTGCTGATGCTAGAACGAAAGGCTTTGCCGTGAGCGGATGGTGGCCGGGACGGAGGGAGACACGGGATGCAGCGTGCGCAGCATTGTTTATCGTTTGCACATTGGTGGGCGACCCTTGTAGGGTAGAGAAACGGAACCTTCCGTACGCCTGGATATAATGATTCCTATAGCATCAATACCATTCGACAAGCTAGAGGGCGGGAAAGGTGGGACTGACCGTGAACTCAAATGACAATGTCATCGTCCATGCCGTGAAGCGACGTGAGTGTGAGTGAGGCATTTTCTGGAGATGTATTCGATCGATAGGCTGAAGGGTGGATAACGCGGGACGGAATCGGCCGTGACCCGTGCTCTGAAGTTGACCGCTGGGCTCTTTGTCCGAGCTTGCGACCACGCAAGGCCTTGCAGCCGTTCCCACCCTCACGAATACGCTCGCCTGCCGACAGGACGCCGATGAACCAAACCACCCAAAGCATGCCAATACTTCCGACCCGGCTCCTGACGCGTACCGTTTCCTCCTCCAAACAGGTTGGATTCGACTCCTCGTTGGAGTTCACTTCCGTGGAGGGCGATTTGAGCAAGGAAGACGAGGTGAAAAGCTTGTTGAAATGATTTCAGTTGCAACCTGTCGACCGTCTCAGCCGCAACCTTGCCCAAAACTTTCAGTAATGACGAATTCTTGAGGTCATCTTCGACAAGAAATTCTTCTTCTTAGGATGTTGCACGCGTTGGTTGTGGTTGAATCTGAAGATGATTAGTTTTTTCAATAACCAATTGATTAGGTTTAACGGCATATAGGGCAGTAGAAAATAACCAAATTGTGACGGACGATTAATTGGTTAGGGCTTTCATGGGAGGAAGTAGATGTGGGGTCAGACGGCAAACTGATTATTCGGCTGTTGACGACGCATGTACGGGCCCAGGCTCGTCTGATAGAAGAGCTCGACAACGCTCGGGACGAGATCAAGAATATCAAGATGAGGCAGGCCATGGTGACGCACGAGCTGCTGGGCAACATCAAGGTCGCCAACGCGGAGGTCGAGATGCTCAAGGCGGCGCTGGCCGACATGACCGCTCAGCGCGACGCTCGCATGGACATGGGCACTCTGGTCGGGATGGGCCCCAAAAAGTCCGGGGTGGACCCGGAGGAGTTCCAGTCCCTCAAGGTTAAATATTACTTGAAAAAGAATAGGTTGTATGTACAGCATAAGGTTGCGTTGACTTGTTCTTCGCCACGGCGGAAGCAAATAAATCAAAGTTGCATGCTAGGACTCTGCATTCTGTGGCTTTGTCTTCCCTGTCCACAGCGTGTCAAGAATTTCGCGGGCTTTGTAACTTTGTCATCCCTGTCTCGCTCGGAGGTTCTACCGAAAGTACGGTCTTGCTTCTACGACTCAAGATCTCCGATCGGGGGCCACGCAGACGGGCGCCTCGCTGTGCTTGCTTCCATTTCTCTTAGAACGATTTCAAGATCTCCGATCGGGGGCCACGCAGACGGGCGCCTCGCTGTGCTTGCTTCCATTTCTCTTAGAACGATAATGAAGCAGTTCCTTCCCTCACGTTCGCTCATAGACAAACGATACCCGAAGTTGGTAACAAGAACGAAAGCGACCCGCTGCGCCGGGATTGGAACTGCCAACTCTAGCAGCTACGAGGTTACCTCGAGGTTTCAAACTACGGTACTGGAGCGACGGTAGTCTGCGCACGTTGCTCCGTTTGCTCCTGAAACCACATTTAGCAGCAGGGATGCAGGGTAGTACTTATCGGAGACTGGCATCAAGTATTTCGATGACCTATGATATCAGTACTTATCGGAGACCAGCATCAAGTGTTTTGATACCCTATGATAGAAGTACGAAAATGTGATAGTTTTCCCCTTCAGAAAGAGTATTAATAGAGGAGACACAAGACACGCCTTCTTGGTGGTCTGAAAGATCTCTCCGTTGTAGCGGGAGGATATCGCATTGTCTCAAACAGCACTCCAGAGCAAGGTACGTAGCCAGACTACTCGATCAGGCAACACACGTCATGCCACAGCGAAGAAGCTTCGTATGCATGGCGACGAGCTGCGATCCGAACCGTATCATTACTTATGTTTCTCAGGAGGAGGCGAAGCTCCAAAATAAGAAGAACGCCTCCCTGAAGACAGAGTTGGAGGAGACTTCCAAGGCGCTGTTGATGTTACTGGAGGAGCTACGAAAGTGAGTGCACAACTGCAGGAGAGGTAGATGCGCAACATCATGGGGATACGCGCAGAATCAATCTTTTTTCGTGTGTGTCTGCTGCGCCCGATTTGAGGGAGCCCCATTGCTGGATCCCGACGTTTGGGGGGCGTGACCCGTGCTCGGGGAACTCAGTATACACGGAATAAATTTCGCCCCAATATGTCCTCCTCGACCGTATCCTCGCCGCCAACAACCTCCGCAAACGCTCTCACGAGCCCTCCCGCTTGCCCTCTGACGCAAGGGCTTGCAAGGAAACTGCGCGGGCGAAGGCTAAAGTATGGAACGCGAGAGATCTGGAAAGAGCCAGATCCATCCCCTCGCCCCCGAAGCCCACAAGAGTCCTTGGAAGCGAGCACAACGCCGCCGGCGGTGGGGTGAAGGGGTCGACAGCCACACACCGACCGCCGCAAAGAGGGAGCGATACAGGTGGTGGATCTTCCAGATCGCTGTCTTCCAAGGACCGAGGAAGGTGAAAGTGGATTCCTGGCAAATCCGTTTTGAGCCGTCTCTTTGTTTTCGACGAAATATGCGTCGCTGTGGCTGTTTGGGAGGGGTAGGATGTGCAGTCTTGATGTTTCCGGTGGCTCTTGCTGTTAGCCCCAGCGAGGTTGAGGGCGAGTTTTCCGAAATTTCTTCGCGGTGTATCGTGGCTTAGCTGCTCTTGAGTCGTTGCATGTGTTTCATACTGATGTTCTTTTCACGCACGTCGATCGTACGCCCGGTGGTGTGAGAGTGTAGCGCTTGGACCAGGACGATTTGTTAGTGGTGCCTCCCACCACGGCGACACTGTGCAACCCGGCACACAAGCGTGACCCACATCCTACGAAACGTGAAGCGATAAACGGAGCTCCACTGCCATTAGTAGCCCTGCACAACCACACGCGTCGACAAGCGTATCTCACATAGTACGAGAAATGAAGCGATTAACAGAGCTCGATCGACGCTACGATAACAAGTGTTATGTTTGCCCCGCACAACTCACCACGTTGGCAGCAGCGGCCGAGATGGAGTCGCGAACGACCGCAAGGGCGGCGGTAGAGAAGGAGAAGGGGATCGGGGCGGGGGTAAGTCTCGCACCGCGGATGAAGAGGAAAAGGAGGCGGAGCTGGAGAAAAGGCGGCAGGAGAGAGCCGCGCAAGCCGAAGCGAAGTGAGTGGCATCTTGGACGAGTGTTCGTCATTTAGACCCATGATCGTAGAAGCTCCCTATGTCAAGTGAGTGGCGTGCTTTGATGACGTCGTTTTCTAACGGTTTGGGGTATGTGTCTGTGAGATCTGTTGGACTCGTGGTAGTAGAGAATTCTCGATTTATTGTTTTCTCTCTCCACTCCTGTTCTCTCCCGAAAAAAACAACAGGAAACAATTGGCGGAGGCGGAGCGGCAGGAGCTGGAGGAGTTCAAAGTGGCGTGCTTGTTGCCCCAGACGGAGGGAGTCGCCCTTGCCACGGACAAGCTAGCAGCCGTGCAAGCCAGCGTGAAAGAGCAGTTCAAAGACGTGTTCCTGGAGCTGAAGGAGGCGCTCGAGGTGTGTCCATTTACCTTGCCGTTCCCGATCTCTCTTCTCGGTTCTGAAGAAGACAAAGGCCGCCTCCACTCGAACTCCCAGACTTTTCGTGCACTTTCGACCTAATCAGAACTGCGCCCGGCCACATACATGGTGAGCGCTAGTGTCGCCCGGGGACAGCCCCCTCCGACTGCACCGACCCAGCTCCAGTCCTCTCCATACTTGTGCACTCAATTCAGAGGTCCAGAGGTCTGAAAGAAAGCTCACCTACACTAGAATTCCCACACGTGTCCATTCTCTCGACTTTTCAGAGGTCTGAAAAGAGGGCTCACCTACACAATAGCTCCCACACTTGTGCACTTACGACCTGGTGCCCTATTTCTGAATTACGCCCCTCCACTCTACATGGCATAAGCGCTAATGTTGCCCGGCGACAGCCCCTTCCGACTGCACCGACCCAGATCCAGTCCTCTCTGAATGATTAGCTTTTCCCTTTCCATGTACCACGGATTGGGACTCTCACCCGGCAGAAAATCCGCGAGGGCTAACTTTTTAACGTCATTCACGGAAGAAGAAACACATGTGCCACCACCCCGACGATCGAAACCAGGCCCACAAGAAGTTCGTCTTGAGGACGAGGGTCGAGGCGAGGGAGGTCACCGGAAAGATGAACGCCCTCGAGACGGAGCTGGACAGGCTGCGGGGGCTGCACCGCTCCACCCAAGAGGAGCTGCGCGGGAGAAGGTTGGTGTGTGCGGAACCCCGCGTCATCGCGCCGGCACAAGCAGCACGCGCCGTCTTTTGGTGAAATCGGGCGAAAGAGCTCTTCGTGGTGCCTTTATGGTATCTCGGGATTTGGGGCTGACGGTAACGTTGGGTGGGAAGGGCGGTTTGTTCCTTCTCGGTATATATAAATTTGTACGTGATAAGCTGTCGGTTTCACCCCCCGCCGTAACTCCCACCAGAGATGTTAAGCAAATGACTCACACGCGAAGGGCTACCGCACAACGTTCGACGCCTTTGAGTGCCGGCCCGGAGAAAACGTCTTTGAGAGAGCACACTGGGCAACGACATTGTTCAGAACGTCGAAACGAACGCTGGGTCCTCAACCCAACAACGTCCTCGAGTCTCTTGTTACATCCCCAGCAGTTCGTGACCGGGTTCACCACTCAAACCTAAAAATGCATGCATTCACCCCGCCACCGCGCCCCCCACGATCGACTGTTGGCTCAAAGTGCTGTTTTGGCGCAGACCCAACAGGACCTGAGCGCGGAAAGGAACGCTTTGGCGGCGACCCGCAAGGAGCTCGCCGCAGCTCAGGCCGAAGCGCGGGACAACTTTTACTTCAAGGAGAAGTAAGTGGTACCCAAAGAGAAACCGCCGGTTGCGAAGGCCGCCCCGCCCGTGCCTTTCTACTGCCCCCGCCGACCGCACTCGTTTTTTTCAATAATGAGATGGTCCCCGTCAGTTCAGGCTGTTGTCAAGGGGCACCCCATAACCGCTGTTCGGCAAGCTATGTGCGCGCTGTCCCCATGTGTGGACGCGGGCTCCAACCCAAAAGCAGGAGCACAGAGATACGGCTTGTTTGTTGGACGCTGATAGAACCTGTGGTCTTCTTCCTTGCATCCCCCTGATCCTCGTGCTTAGATTCAAGCCCCAGGTGGTCACGTGCCGCTTCATGTTGTCTTGCTGACATATTTCCTGGGTGGGGCACTGGCATGGCCTGATTCCCCTGATATGCTGGCCCGCAGGACTCCCTGGCTTCCCTTCACCCCTCGCTCACGCCCTGCTACTGTCGTGACTCGTGTGTGCCCCGGTTGCAACTCTCCTTCTTGTGCGTGCATTTTTCTCCCCCGTGTATGATATGACACCGGGACCTCCGAAAAGAAACGCGGTCCTTCAGAACCAGTGGGACCACGCCGAGATCTCTTCCAGACGGGCAAAGCAAGAATGCGAGCAGGTATTTCGACCAGCAATCCCCACTCCACAATCTAGGTAGATGGGCTTCTATCCTTGCATCTCGGCGGCCTCCTGTTCTGAGCGCATGTAGCTGAGGCAGAGTGCCGATCGTCTCTGAAGCTTTCCTTCTTTAGGTTCAGATACCATATGAGAAAAATCCCACAGAATCGAAGTGGCTTTGTCCCATGATCGAAACATCCATACGTTGGTTCCACCCGCGCCATGCGTCATTATCCAACTCATTACTTGTTTTTCATTGTTAACCATTCGGAGTGTTGTTGATTTCATGATTCACCATTTCGGAATGTTCTCGTTTTCGGGGTCCTCCCTTGCACGTTAGAAACCTTTATTTTGCAGGGGATACTTCGTGGTGTCTTTGTAGGCATGCCACCATTGTGTGGCACCACCAAAACCGAAACATAAAAACACCCAAACCAAGCCAAACCACATCACACCCACTGAGTATATGGTAGCAGGGAAGCGCCCGGCTTGGAAGAAGATTTCAAACTTTGGCTAATAGCGCTCGCTCTTCTCCTTGTCCAGGTAAAGTGGGAGCTTCAGGAGCAGAGGTCCACCCTCCTCCACTTCAGGAAGCTTGCCGAGGAGGACGAGAGAAGAGCCAAAGAGTTTGTGGAGGTGGAACAGGCCCTCAAGGTGAGCTATTACAACTGTCGTTACGTCATGGGGAACAACGGAAGAGTGTGTGAGTTTGCCTTTCGTGGAACTGGGGGTTTAGTAGAACAAACAGCCGTGGGTCCAAGTTGGCCGTGCAGAAGCGGTTCTAGGTTAGAATTACCCCGTCCCTTCTACTTGCGTGCGATTCAGTACTCGTCCAGGGACCATGGTACTCGGAGCCACCCGCTAGGTGGATCGCTTCAGAACAGCAGTGCGTTCTTCTGACTACAGTAGTTTCAGTGCATTGTTCTTGAACGAAGAATAGTCGCCAGCTCGTCCGACCGTCGTGGTCCAGCCTGCCGGCATGACTGCACCCCGCGGACTCCTTCCAGGTAGGCAAACAATTGGCTGGCCTTGGAGGCACCCTTCTCTGCTCTCTCTCTCTCCCACTAGACACAGAACTTCGTCTCTGGTACAGCGTTGTCAGGGTCAATGCCAGTTCCTCGTCAACAGACATTCAGACCCGTTAGAAGATGATCATGGGGCAGACTGCCACTGTATCTTCGCTAAATGTGCGTGCGCTTGAAGTCAAATGCTTTGCGGGATGAGTCTTGTCTGTCTGCTTGGCTGTCTACCTGCCCCCCTGGCGTCTATCTGCATGTTTGCCTTGTTTTCATCAGACGAAGGTCGAATCGCTGGCAGCAAGGCTTAAGAAAGCAGAGGACACGGCGGAGCGAATCGAGCAAGATCGCAAGTCCAGGCTCGAGTGTCTCACCTCTACAGCATCGCAGGTCGGTTGGTGTTGCAGTCGGGGATTACGCCGTTGAATGCAGAGTCAGATACGAAGTATTTCCGTGTATTCGGCCCTGGTTGACTAACTGAAGCTGGACCCCAAGAAAGACCACTCACGTACGTCCACGAGACCGGTAGAAAATACTTTTTTTAGATTGTATTGGTTTCTTTCGCTCTGCCGGCTAGTGTCATATATTTACATACGCGTGATTGTGTTGGGGTGTTGTATGCTACGAATCCCTCGAAACTTGGCCACGAAGAACGAGCAGCGAGTTTCTTGAACCGCGAGTGTCGAGGAATCTTTGCGGGTTCGGACGGTGTGACATGCACCAACCTTCCTTGCCGATGTTGCTGCTGTGCTCGCTTGCCTTTTTCTTGTTGTCAGAGAATGTCCCTTGTCCTGCCTCATTGAATTGAGGATGTACGTTTATTAAGAGCGGCTGTTCCTATTACTAGTCCCACATAGAGGTGGTGCGATGAGTTCCGCACACGACTTTTCCAAGTCTCTCCATCTCACAATCGCCTCAACTGCTGTAGCATACGTATTGTGTTTTAGAACAAGTGTGCCCGCGAAGAACGACGCATCGAGGAGGTGTCGGCACACGTTGTTTACAGCTAGCCTTGATGGGCGGTGGGCAACACGTAAATGGCTGCAATGTTCTGCAGGTCAACGGCTACAACGACCCTGATCTCGGTCTAGGAACAACGGGGTCAACACAGACGGAATTTCACTGCCCTCCGATGACATTAAGGTGCGGGACAACACGGTGATTCCGTCAGAGATTGCAGCTATCGTGCTTACCTTGCAAACAATGCCGCAAAGGTTAATGGCCATCTAACCTTGTTGTCGACCAGGTAGAACGCCGAGTGGGAAGAGATCTTCGAGATGTTCGGAGTACGCAGCGCGCTCAACCACGATGACACGAAACGTGTAATAGTGCGAGGTCCCACCTCGTGTGTTGTTGCAAGGGTGCAGGAAACTTCAAAATCAGGTGTCCTGGACCGTTCAAACATGTCCCCCTTGGCTGCTACCATGAACAAAGCCCGAGCGTGTAAGTGGAATGCCTTGCTCGACGTAACATGGAAACCTCTTCTGAGTGCGTAGCGACTTCAGGTCATTAAAACAGAGCACTCGCGGTAAGATCCCGAAAGGTAGAAGAGGTGACACTCCTCAACACGCCCGGCCCCGACCCTTCGCAATCGAATCAGGAGGAGCAACTATCAGGCCACGGTCTTAACCCGAGCCGCAAGCGCTGGCCCTACTAAAGGCGGCAGCTACCACGACGGTGCGACGTTGGGGTTCGTCTGCCCCGGCGTAGACGGACGGGCAGTCGCGTCCGAACGAGACCTCTACAGCCCAGGAGCTGGTTCGGCGGTAAGCACGGATGAGTTTTGTTGCAAGCGGGCACCGCTGTGGCCATCGTATTTGGCGGTCTCCCGGAACCCACACCATTCCCGAGCGGGATGTTTGGGGCGTGTGGTCTCAACCCCGCTCCCCTTCAGTTTGTCTTGAAATTCATCCTAGTTGTGATCTGCCATCAACACCACAGTGCATAGGTACTTCACGAAATTAAGTTAAGCCGGGCCCCAAGGCGGTGAACAATACCACAAACCTCTCTTGCCCCCGTTGCCCCGACGTCTGCTGGTACCGGTCCCCGATGCTGCGTTCCCTTCTGCAGGCGCTGTTGGAGATGCAGGGCTCCGGCACAGTCGACACATTCAGCAGCAGCGCGCACCACCTTGATGCTCACAGCGACAGCCTCAAGCAGCTTTCTTTCCGGTCCCCAGCATGGGCCATAGCAGGCACAGAGGTCTCCCTCAGCGCTGGAGAAGCAGCGATATCCAAAGCCGACAGCTTCGTGTCCTCAACTCAACAGCACCGAGCAGGCGGTAGAGGCGAGGCACAGAACTGGGGACTGTGGCACGAGGGCGGAGGAGCCGGGGGGGGTGCTGACGTGGCCCTCGAAGGGTCCTTAGAGACGGAGGTCGAACGTCACAGGTGAACGATGCGTAGACTGTAGGCAAGGGCGGTCTCTTCATGTGTTACGCCGCATGAGTCAGTCCGTTGGGGGAAACGTTGACGTCCTTCCGCCGCCCTTGGGTACTTTCCGCGAAAGCGTACCGGATGATCTTTGCCCGTCTTGCTTTCGTTCATGTGATTTCACTTCCATGAAGCCGAAAGTGCAACACAAAAACGTCCTTGAAAATCAACCAATCTGCCGTCGCCCTGCGCTTCTAACCCCTTGCCCCCGTCCCATCGCCTATGCCATCAACGAAACAACCGCTGACTGGCCCACACTCCACAAGCCCCACCGCCGCCTCCGGCAGAAGACCAGGGACAACATCGGACTGTCTGCCCGCGGCCAACACGCCGAGCACAACGACAGTCGCCAATCGCCCCCAAACCTCCCCAAGCGTGGTGTTTTTAGCTGATATGCGGGGCGGCGGTCCCGAGACAGACGGGGGGCGGAGGAGCCCGCCCCGGCGGATGCACAGTCGTGTCCTTCTGCAGAGCGCCAGGGATCACTCTCTCCCTCCGCCGTGCGGTGGTGCGGGGCAACAGCATCAGCAACGTCGACAGGGCGTCGCCTCCGCCCCCGGAACCAACCGATGCGCTCCCGTGAACATCAGCGCTTCTTGCTCTTCCGTGCCTGCCGGTGCTACCACTGCCCCGGGGTTGGCGAGCGAACGGCCAAGAACGTCATATGCCGTCCTCACCAGCAGCCGGAGCGGCGGCGTTCAGGATAGCTCTGCAACGCAAGGAAGCGTCCCTGGTGGTCACGACGGGTTCGCCAACGGGCAAGATTCGCGGCGGTGGCAACGAGGGCTACAACCCAACCACCAACATGTCATAGATTTAGGGGTCGTGAGCGACACAGTGCCCCAACCTGTCGTGTGGGGACAGCGGCAACTGGCGGCGGCGGCGGCGGCGGCGGCCGCTTCGGGACGGTCGAGAAGCGCAGGCGTGGCGGGGTGGTGGAAGGACGGAGTGACGAAGGGGGGTGTGGTGTTGGACGCGAGATTTGCCAAGGTTAGGCAAACCCTGAGAGGCGATGTGCTAGATGCGGCTGAGAGGGCGAAGCTCCCGTTGTTGCAGTAGTATTGCCCAAAGCTCACATGTTTCTTCGCGTCACGCTGTGTTTTTTGAAAGCATGCGGGAGTTGTTTGAGAAACTGTTCAGGAAAATTCACCACGTTTTCGTGAGGTTGTGTGTGCGAGGCTTGAAGCTGACGAATGCCGCGTACGTACCAAAATGGCCGTAAGCACGGGGTACGGGGTCGTAGAGCATGTGGCGAGAGAGAGAGATGCGATCTCTCTCTGCAGCAGCTCGTGCATACGAAGTGAGAAAAAAACGTGATGAAAGTGACGCCCGATCTAGACACGCAACGCACGTGGTGCAATCTTACAATTGGTCGCTCAGAGCACAGCGTATTCGCTCGTGGTGCGCTGCGATACGGCTTACGCTGCTCGTGGCAATCAACCTCCGTGAGATATTGGAGTTGCCAGAGGGAAAAAATCAACGGAAAATGTACCTTATTTGGTCGCAACAGACCGCAAGGAACACAAAGTAAGGGGATGGGGGCCGCCCGGGGGCTGCACCATCCGAGCAAAACAAACCGACCGAAACACACTTGAACGCGTATCCTGGATCCTCACGTGCCAAACAATCAGATGACAAGACCCCTTGGGCAGGTGATATCTGACTGGCGTTATCTCGTGGTTGTACGAAACGTACTCAAGGCAAGGTCCAACCGTATGCTATGCGTCAACTAGTCGCCAAAGCAAGTATTCTGGCGACGTACTTATGTGCGTGTGTGTTAATTCAGCAAGCTGGGCTACGCAGAAAGGCCGCTGCTGACCACACACGCGCCAAGAACAAACTCAAAGTTCACCAGAGGGAACTTCTAGAACAAAGCAAGGCCAAAACAGCACAGGCCCGCTCAGTGAGAAACATCTGACAAGACATGGTTCCATGGCAAACCGTTGCCGTCAGTGCGGCCATTCTCAAGCTGCTTAATCTCGGTGCGCTGCGCTCGAGGTTTGAGAACGCAAACGGGGGGGGGTTCCCTTTGCACGCAAGACGTTGAGGACAGGACAGGCCTACCACTACCGTATATGACACAAGGTAACACACCCCCTGGACCGATTTTCAAAGCTCGATCACTCCACGACGAAGAGGATGCATAAACGAAACGATACGTTTTCGGAGGGCTCTCGACCAGACGGCTTCAACGCCGCCGTTTTCCTCGCTGCGACTCTCTCTGCTGTAAAAAAATCGAGCTTTGAACATTGGTCCAGGGTGTGTTCTCTTATGTCGTATGCGACATTCAAGCATAGAATAGATGTGAAAAAAAAATAACAGCGGGAGGAGAGGACGCTGCATAATGTCTGCAAAAAAAAGTTCATCTGCCAGCCTATGATCAGTTACGAGGTGCTTGGCCCTAGGAGAGGAGTCAACACGTGTAACGCGATACCCCGGATCGTGTACCTCCACGACGACGGGGGCAATGTGTCGGCATGCAGGTACACGACCCGGGGCATCGCGATACACGTGTTGACCCCGTGTTACCGTCGAGTCGGCATTCATGCGTTCTCGTATGCATGGCTGATTACTGATTACGGCAAACCAATGGTTCAGATCACAACGGGGTGATAAATGCGATAGGATCCACTCAGCCGTCTTTTGCCACCGGCAAGTGTTTCCCAGCATCCAGAGCCTCTTGAGTCCACTTCCCGACTACGTTGCGGCCCGTTGCCAAAAAATGAGCGAAGTGGGTGTGGAGGCACTTGATATGGCGGGGCTGAACTATGCCTGCCACTCCGTTGGAGAAAGACTTCTCCCACCCTTGCCGCTTGATGGTATCCACGTCTTCTGCAGAAAGCAACGACCACCGTTCCTCGGCGTAGCTCTTATGGGCAGCTTCCATGTCTGCCATGATTCCTGGGTCAGCCTGAAGACAAGCAGGACAGGACAGCGGTTGGAGATCGGTCTTCGGAACGGTCTTCTTGGTTCGTCGATTGACGTCGAGGCCCCGTCTCACAAAACAAAACAATCACGTATTCCGTCGCCAGACAGAAACACCGGCACCACTCTCGGCAAAGCCGAAAGCGCCACCAAAACATTACTGCTGTTGCATGCATATGCACATAGGCCGTACCGTAGCCGACAATGCATACTGCACTAAAAACTTATACGTCGTTCCGCCAGTCAGGCAGTCTCGCGAGACAGTCGGAGCACCTGCAATCTTCGCTCCCATTCAAGGATGAGGCCTTGGTTCTCCAGTTGCGACACAGCCGCCTTCAGAGATGGGCACGAGAGCCAGTACATCGTCGGGAAGGGCTGAAAAAGTGACACGGAAGGATGGCAACGGAGGGGGGGGGGGGGGGTACTCATAGTCGTGCATGCCGTAGTCGTTAGACCATTGACCTCGCATCCCTACAAAGCCGGGACGGAGCACGCCGGGTTCTCACCGGACCAGGCTCTCACATCACCAAGCGCGAAGCGCCGTGAG